TGTCCTTCCTACCACACAGCCAGGATCGGCGGGACACGGACACCAATTTCCAACAGCGCGAAAAAAACTCAGCGTTGGTCGACGACGATCACCCGACAGAGTGCAAACAACACGGGATGGCGATGGCGACATGATGGCAGCTGCGAAACATCCTTGTGGATTGCAGATGGATTACTCCTGTATTTCTTTTTGTCCCACCGGATCAAGGACTCGTATGCTCGTCATCTGCGGCCACAATTTCCCCTAGGGTGGAACCGCAATCAACCCGCACGGCCCTCTCCAAAGGTACGACTGAAGGGAATACGGTCCCGGTCCAGGGTTTCACCCGCAACGTGGTCGTGAGGCAGCTAATCGCGGGCTGATTGCGTCCCAGTCCGGCGTGCGAGTGGAGCCTCGCGATCGCCACCGTGATGGAACCAAAAGGGACGGAGCAGTGAGCTCGTTGCTACACCTTCTGCCACAGAGAGCCCGGGACAGCCATGTGGGGGTTACAGTAGCTTGCGTGCTGTCCGCATCCAATCGATGTTCCCAGGGCCCAGGTTGACTCGTGGTTCAGGCATCCTTAGTAGTATTATTAAGCGTCCATGTCCACGGACTACCTAGGTAACAGAGACGTGGCACGATGCATCATGCAAGAGAGTGGAAGAAGGCCTATACAGATTGCATCAATCTCATCAACAGGTCTGTACAGATTCGAATATATTGCACAAGGCGCCTCGTCTCGCCCTGATGAAGGGAACTTCATGGGCGGCGCAGATATCAAGCAGTAAAGATAACGGGCAAGGTACATAAATACATGAGCTGCTGTTACGCTATTCCACTCATGATTTCGTGTGCAAACACGTCTCTCCCGACGCTGGGTCGTGTCGAAGACACTGCCCGTCCGGGGCTGATCCTCCACGGCTCTCCTGTTGCCATGCAGGGCAAACAGGCCAACTCTCGTATTGTATCGAAGACCAACTGTCCATCCAGATCCTGGCTTGGCAAAAAATCACCCGAAGATCCTTGATCTAGTGTGCTCCTCCCCATCTTCAACCCCGGGAGGAGCCTGGATATCCCTTTTCAGGCCCGGAGCGACAGAGCACGGACGATAGAGGGGATTTTCCATAGTAAAGACACCACAAACCTTTTGCTTAACCAAGGAGCTCCACATCAAGGCCAATTGCGCGCATGAAGAGGTTCACATTGCCCAGACGCTGGCTTGCCATGTCGGCTGGAAGCGTCTTACTGTAGGCGACGGTTTCCATCACCCGATCCCTAAGACGGAGAAAACGAAGGTTAGACGACGCAGGTTACAGGGGAAAAAAAGAAACAACGCATGGAACTTACTTGACCGCGATGACCAGACGCTGCTGCTGTTCCGGGCTAGCTCCAATGCCCACCGCAGCCAGGAACTGCCAAACATACATGTCATCGCCCGCGTTGATCGTGCCCGGGAAGATATCGGCAAAGATGGGCTCGAGAGTGTCGAACAGAAGGTTGAATTTCTCACTCCACTGTTGCCAGTCCCGTTCGTCCGCCTGGCCTGCCTCCTTGACAATCTCAGCCCGGCTGAGCAGCATCGTCAGGATACCCAGGCCAATCTTGGTCCGGGCAACAAGTTGGACCTGAGTCTGGGCCAGCACGAGCCCCAGAAGACCGATGATGATGTTGAACGGAGCTTCATTCACATAACCGAGGAGACTGGGCATGACGGCTTGGGAGAAGAGTTCGATCTCCTCCCGAACAGCCACCGGCGGCTGGGTCTCGCCTGGCTGGAGCAGTGCTTTCCGCACCACATCGATGGAATCGAGGTGCACGACAATCATGGTCAGAATGGTTACTCGTTGCTCCTGATCGATCTGACGGAAGAGGCGAGGGATCGCCTTCTTTCCCTTAGGGTAAGACAAGAACGCGATGAAAGGGTGAGGCACCGTGGAGCCCGGCACGATGGGTTCCATCACCTTCAGGTCCTGCCACAACTTCTGGTTGAGCGACTGCATCTTCTGTCTCCACTCCATGTGCCGCTGGATCGCCTCTGCATCGCTTTCATCCGGGGGCGGAGGCATCGTGCGTTCTAGATCCTCCATCTTCATCAGGGTTCCGTACACGTTCTCGATGTTGTTCAAGATAGATTTCCGGTCGCTGGGACTGAGGTCGGCCGTCTTCTTGGCTGGTTTGAGGCCATCCGAGCTTTCAGGTCGTTTGATGTTCAGTAATGGTTTGGGGGTCTTGGCGTTACTGAAGGAAATCTTGCCCAGACTGCCTTCGATGATGAGCTGCTTGTTCTTGGGTTTCAGCTTCGCCGCCTCAACGGCGCGCTGCACCTGTTGCTGCATCCGCTGCATATGGTTATCCGCATGGTATTGCCGGCGACCATGTCCTCCCGTGCGATTCCCTGTCTGGAAGAGGTAGGTCTGGGCAAAGTGACCCAGGGGCTGGCGAGGATGCTGTCGTGGAGCGCCCCGGATCTGACTATAAACCTGATAGTAGAAGTCCTCCGACAACAAAGCCTCTGGATCCGGATCATTGACGTTGCCCGTCGCCGCCACAAGTTGCTGCAGCTGAATCCGGGTGATGAAGTTCTTATCTTGCGGGGTCATCAAGCCGTTGCCGCGGGAAAGGAGGAAGATCTTGTGATTCCGCTTGGCCCGTTTGGCATCTTCCATCAGATACGCCATCCGCTGTTCCTCGGTGAGGTTCATCAGTTGCTGGGGGTTGGTGATGACAGGCAGTCCCTGCGGTGGCATGGGAGGCGGCTGCTGTTGTGCTTGCCGTGGGCCGCGGGGGGTCCCAACAGGGCGTTGCTGCGGAGGGAATTGCGGTGGCCGACTCACATTCTGCAGGGCTTGCAAGGGCGCCTGCGGCGGAGCAGTAGGGGGAGGACCATGGTATAGCGGCTGCTCGGGAGGCGCCTGTTGCAGTCGCTGCAAGAGTTGCGAGGGTGGTATGCCTGCCGCCAACGCCTGTTGCTCGAGAGCCAGTAATTCAGGCGGCATTTCAGGATACCCCTCAGGCAGGGGCCCGGGGGGCATCTGCGGGAGGTGCTGGACAGGTTGAGACACCTCAGGAGCCGACGCAACAGATGCCACTGGCTGGGGCTGCGATGCTACTTGCGGTACTGTTTGCGGTACTGTTTGCGATACTGCTTGCGATGCTGGCTGCGATGCTGGCTGGGACTGCGGTGGTCGCTGGGACTGTGCACGCATCTGAGCTTCCACCTCCTCCAAGCTCATCATCTTCTTGGCTGGTGCAGTCTCAGTAGCCGGCTTTTTCTGCACCGAGGTGCCCCATACACTCGACTTGGCTGTAATCTCCGGGATAAACCCGGGATCCTGGTATTTCTCATAACCGGTTTTCTTTGGTTTTTGGGTAGTACTTGTCGTGGTGGTCTTGGTAGTTGCGGTGGTGGTTGCGGTGGTAGTCGCAGTGGTAGTTGTCGGGGCTGTAGTTGTGGTCGAGGCTGGAGGCGGGGCAGAAGTCGCTGCCAGCGGAGATGATGATTTGGGATGTTGCAAGCCATAGCGAATCTGCTCCTCATTGATCACGTCCGACACTTGCGCTGTGTTGCCAAAGAAGTCGAAATCCTTTCCAATCTCGCCCGTGTCGCCAAAAGTATCCTCGTTGAAAGCATCCTGCTCATCATCCAACTGGTCGCCCAGGCCATCGTAGGTATCCTCGAAATCAATGCTGGCAGAGGGAAATTCAAGGTTAGTAACTACGGAGAAAGAGAGCCACAGGGGAATACTCACGCATCATCGTCCTCGTGTAATCCCTCAGCTTTGGCGCGAGCCACTTCGGCAAAGGGATCCGGGTTTTCGAAAATGCCTCTGGTCTGCTTGGAAGACGCCTTGTCCCTCGGCAGGGTGGTGTCGAAGCCGAAGAACGACATCTTCGATGCGACGCGGAGGACTGCAAGAGAGCGCAAGGAAAGGAGGCGCAAGATCTTGCACCAGGTGTTTGCACTTTTGATGAATTAATCCGTCTGACTTCTGCTTTGGTGGCTTGAGGGAAGAGTCACGGGTGGCCCGTGCTTGCCGCTGCAGCCTCAGGCATCAACTTCAGCAAGGATGAGAAGACAACCAAGATATTGCACGTCACGTCAATCGTCAATTTGATTCTATTAATAACCTCATAGAAGCGAAGGCTGAAAAAATAGATAAAATGCTGAAGAGGAAAAGAAGGACCAAAAACAGATATCACTTAATCCAGCACTCGCTAATGTTGTATTGCTGGACTGTTATTAATTATTAAAAGGGGCCACGAATCCAGCTAACTTTGCATCTAATTAAGTCTGCACCTTTCAAACAGCCTTAAGCCTGGTTTTCTTCTTTTAATATCTCTGCCAAAGTGAAACTAGAAATAAACAGCACAAAATTCCGTAAAAGATTGCCAGTATTCGATACCAGGCTGCTCTCTTTACTTCCAAGGCTGGCAACATCTGTCGTATTCAGAGCTAAGGCGTACGTAAGAGGAACCAAATATTGCCCGATGCGGGCGGAGGGCGGCCGGTTGCGTGGCCTCCGACGAGTCCACGCCTCCCCGGCACCTTATTTGCTCCGGGCTGGATGCCTCTTCTGGGCCTGGCAACAGTAATAAAATAAGGGAGATTCGAGATCATGACCCCTTTCAATCTTCACTCAATTCCTTTTAACTGTCCTTTTCTCCCCCTCCGACTGCGCTTGAATCGTGCCCCTTGAAAGGCGTGTCTTCTGGCTGATTCGCCGTCACATTCCGTGCTTGAGGACACGGATCGCCAGTCCATTCCTACAGACATTGGGGCGAAGTCGCTCACCGGGGCAATCCACAGACTCGGGACACGCGACATCTTTCTTACAGGCCGTCCTCCATTCCTCAGCTTTGCTTCCCCACGTCTTGCAACGTTCTGTGTTTTACGGCGTGTCAGCCGTTGCTTTTCCGTGGCCTGCCGGTCCTGAACAACGGCCAGCTCCGCATCACATTAACTCACCTCCGACTCTGAGAGCACCTGCCCACCATGTCTTCGGGGGCAGGGAGATATCTCCGATATCTTCTGTTCGCCCTTTTTGTGAGTTTTTGTCAATTGTCTTGGCGGTGAGCTTGTTCCAGGAACGTGACGGGGCTAACCATAGGTTGACTGCAGGGACTGGCAATTCTCGTTTTTATCTCCAGATCATCACTACCCCTTCCTCAAAACTACGACTTCGGTACCAAAATTGGCTCAGAGAAAGAACAGAAACAGGATAGCATTCCCCAGACCCCAGCTCCCTCCTCGCCAGCTGCTGCCGGAGGCCGTGTTAATGCGACCTTTGTGACCTTGGCCCGAAATGGAGACGTGTGGGAGCTTGCCAAATCTATCCGGCAGGTCGAGGACCGCTTTAATCGCAACTATCACTATGACTGGGTGTTCCTCAACGACAAGCCCTTCGACGAGACCTTCAAGAAAGTCACGAGCGCCCTGGTGTCAGGCAACACATTCTATGGTCTGATTTCAAAGGAGCACTGGTCGTATCCGGAGTGGATCGATCAGGACAAGGCGAGGAAGGTTCGCGAGGACATGGGTCAACGGAAAATCATCTACGGCGATTCGGAGAGCTACCGGCACATGTGTCGCTACGAGTCCGGCTTCTTCTTCCGTCACCCACTGATGCTGAACTACGAATACTACTGGCGAGTGGAGCCGGGCATCGAGCTCTACTGTGATATCGGTTTCGATCCGTTCCGGTTTATGAAGGAGAATGACAAGAAATACAGTTTTGTGCTCAGCCTGTACGAGTACTACGAAACCATTCCCACCCTGTGGGACAGTGTCAAGAAATTCATGGAAAATCATCCAGAGCATATCGCGGAGGGCAACTCGATTGGCTTTTTGAGCGATGATGGCGGCAAGACGTACAACAAATGCCACTTTGTGAGTGCCATGTCTTGCTTTTAGTTGTCGGTGATAGCTGACTGTTCGCTTCAGTGGTCCAACTTTGAGATTGGCAACCTGGACTGGCTGAGATCGGAGGCGTATCTCGATTATTTTGACTCTCTCGATAAGGACGGTGGCTTTTTCTATGAACGATGGGGTGATGCTCCAGTTCACTCGATTGCGGCCGCTCTCCTCCTCAAAAAGGAGCAAATCCATTTCTTCAATGAGATTGGTTATTACCACGTTCCCTTCACGCACTGCCCGACCGGTGAAAAGACACGGCTGGACCTGAAGTGTCACTGCAACCCCGAGGACAATTTCGACTGGAAGGGATATTCTTGTAAGTTTGCTGTAGTTGTCTGGAAGGACCTATTTGTTACTAATGGCAGCCATCCAGGCACTTCCCGATACTTCCATATTAACAACCTCAAGAAGCCCGAAGGATACCAGGACGAACAGGATTGACTAGCCGTCCTTTTGAAGGTGTGCGGCTATCTGATCATAATCGTCACGCTGGGGCTCGCCGTTCGGTACGGGCTCCGTGTGCGGCGGCATCAGATGGCGCGGAACCTATCCAGTGACATCTTCGAATTGAACGAACGAAAGCCATGAGCGCCGACGAAAGATCTATCCGTCAGGCAATTACCCCCACACTAACAAAACGGACTGTACTGTATTGTACGATTTGGCGTCTCGCCTTGTCTCTTATCTTTTTTCCTGGTGCTGTTCCTGTCTGATATCATTTCCGGCCGTGGCGTTATGCTAGTGTCATGTTGTGTTGTGATTTTCCTTGACTTAGGCAGACAGGGTTGGTCTTTGCCATTATCATAGTGTCATTTGTTTATTTTATTCTACTGTACATATATAGAGAGATTTTTTTCTTGGTTATTGTTTTCGGTGTTTGGTTGGTAGGTCGTTAGGTAGGATTTCCTTCCTTTTTTTAAAAGGAAAAATACCATAAAAATTAGGCAAGGATCAATATTGTACCCAATTTCTGGCCGTACAGAGAGTATTCTCTCCCCCACCCTCAAATTAATTCTCTTGGGATTAATTTGGGGAATGAGAGTGTATCCATACTTCATCTATAGGAAACATGCCCAGGGTACTCTTCCCTATGTGGATTACTGAAAGAAGACAAAAATGAAATTTCAACAATTGTCATACAGCTAATAAAGAAGAAGAACACGAAAAAGAAGATGATGATGACATAGTCGCTATTATACATGAGAATATGCTGAATAGAATAGTACACATGCGTATCGATCTTCCTCAGAGATCGGTCGACCGATCGATCCATCTATCTATCCGTTCATGGATAACCGGGAGGGACCTTATTCAATTCAATTCAAAGGTTCTTATATCCCTCTCGTCTCATTTTAAACATTCAAAAAGAAATAGAAGTGGTGCTCCGACTTTTTTTTTAATTCCGTCATTTAATCCTGCTTGGGCTTCTTCGTTCCGTACTTGGACCGGCTGGTCAACCGGTTCGCAACACCACCCTATATGAGCAGATAACAATTAGTTAGCGAGAATACTACCCAACAGAGAGGACGGAGGAAGGGGGCTATGGAAAGAAAGACAAACGCACCAGGTCCAATGCGCCTCGGACAAGATGGTACTTGACACCGGGACAATCCTGACATCTGCCACCGCGGACAAGAACGACACTGTGCTGCTGGACGTTGTGGCCTGAACGCTCTTGTCAGCACTGGCATCAATGTGCCAAAGAATAATAAATTTAAAAAATTAAAGGCCGAGGACTATATTATTGCAACTAACGCACCTTCACCGGGAATATAAGCCGTCACCACTCTGCCACTGCTCAACCGCACCCTAGCGGTCTTACGCTCTCCCGAGTTGGGCTTCTTCGGCTTCGTGATACCGGTCTTGAGACAGACGCCCTTCATCTCGGGCCGGTTGTGCAGCGCCGGAGAGCGACGTCGACGAGCCTTCTGCGGCTTGCGGCATCCGCGTCGGACCTGGTTGTAGGTAGCCTGGGCACGCGGCGTGCTCGAGAATTGGCGGGTTGCAATTGCAAAAAATGAGCTCGTCACGGAAAGGACCGTCGTAGTAGTAGTAGTAGTAGTAGTAGGACGGAGGATAGGAGTGAATCGCGTCTTGTTGGAGGACAGGAGCGAACTAGTAGAGGATGGTTTCGAGGAGGAGAAGAGTCGGGTGGATAGTTGTGACAGATGCTGCTGTTGCTGCTGCTGCTGTCGGGCAATTATCCGCAGAGCAGCAGCCGGACGGAACGCCCGCGAACACAAAGCCGCCGACATGGTTGGTACGAGAGCGGCAGACGAGGAAGATGGACGTTCGCCTGTTGCACCGACAAGCAGATGCGATCTGAATCCGATTATCTGAATTTCCGGGGATGGTTTCGCGGCACGTGATCTAGGGTTGGTTATGTCAGCGCCGCCTGCGCAGGAGGTGCGTCGAGACTGCCGGACAAGCTGGACGCGCGGGTGTCTCTGCCTGGGCCAGACTCCGTCATAGGTAGCTGCCAGCCAGCCAGCGATACCTGACTGACCTGCCTCTTATCACACTCCCTCAGGACAACAACACACAACATACTCCAGACTAAGGGGAGTTTCTGATACAGCTGAGTGGATTTGAGTGGATTTGGAAAGCGGTCCAAGAAATACATCACAATGGTATGAATGTCTCCGTCGACCCCGGTATCACTATATCCATATCAAGTATCTACACTATGGACTCATATTGCATACCACCATTATTCAAGAAATATTACAAGAAAAACAAAAGAAAGAAATCAAGGACAAGAGAATTCCTCTAACTGACGACCTGCAGTCTCTCCGCATCGCACCTCCCGTCAACCACCCCTCTCATACCAACAACCTCACCGGCCGCCATGCCTCTGCGGTCACAGCGCCCTACCCCAGCAAAGGCGCCCCCTCCGCGCCCGGTCTGCCCGACAGACTGCGAGACAACATCACCCTGCCAGCGCCCGTCGGTCCTCCCTCGGCGCAACCGACCGCGAAGCCCGTATCGTCACACCCGCTCGAGGCGCGCCTGCTGGCCTGGCGCGCCACGCACGATGCCATGAAGATGGAGTCGCTGCGCCGTGTTTATGGCATGGCGGAGCCCATCCGGCGCGGGATGGAGCTCAAGATCGTCCGCGACGGCACCTTCACGCCGATGGTGCTGGGGGGGCCTCGGGGGAATATCCATGAAGATATCCTTGTGTTGGGGGCCGAGATACCGAGATTGACTGGGAGGATGTTTTCACTGGTGCGTCTGCTAACATCTTTGTTTTTCTCTTACCCTCTATTTTTTTTTAATTCTGAAGATGTCATATCACTGACTGAAGAACTTTGTGTCCAGGCGACGAATTCCGAGAACCGCCGAGCTTCCACGATGAGATGGAGAAGCGATTGAGGATGGATTTGTAGTGCGGTGCGGGGAAGAAAAGGAAAAGATAAAAAATGTGATGCTGGACCATAATTTCCTATTCCTTGACGGTTGCATGTTGTTTCCTTTTTGTGTTCGTATTGTCTTGTCTGCATGAACAAGAATCTTCATCGATCCGTTCTATGATGAATTAATCGATTAATTGATCAATCGATCGATAATAGACATGGTCACATGAATGACCAGACTGGAAAGAAAGAATCAATGAAGAATAATAAATAGGGGGAACAGATATCTATCTATTTATCTGTCTAGCTAACTCGTTAGATATCCATTCCTCTCGACGCAAGGTAAGAGCTGGTATCTACCTAGTAGCCAGTATCTAGTAGGTACCTAGGAGCTAGGAGGTTACCAAGCTAGGTAGGTAGATACCTAGCTAGGTAGGTAGATAGATAGGTAGATAGACCGGTGGAAGGCTAGAAAAAAAAAGGCTGTACGTACGTATGTATGTATGAGAATTCATTAGTATCATCGTGTTTGTTCACTTTAGTGTAGTGTAGCATAGTATAATAGAAACAAAACAGGGACCATGTATGTACAGTACGCAGTGAAGAAAAATTAATAATAAGCTGTAGACCGGGGGAAAAAGGATCAAATAAACAAATTAAGTACGGTACATACATACGTGCATAACGTACATACATAACGTAGATAATTTGATGAAAAGGTACATACATACACACATACCACATACACACAAACCAAGTCGAGTCGAGTCGAGTCGAGTTGAGAAGACTGTAGGGAAGAATAAAAAAAATTCATCTTGCTAAGGAGGCCACACAGTGACACGACACAAGGACAAGTCAACAATAGCATACACAGCACACACACAAACACACACACACACACACACACACACACACACACACACACACAAAGTTGAAAATAATTCACAATCCTAACGCCGGTATCCACACAGAAGAAGAAGAAACGTTTCCCCCAAAGGAATTTAACAAACAAGGAAAAAAAATTACTGGGGACGGACGTTTTTCGTCGTGCAAGATCAAAGGTCAGGTCAAGATCAACCGAGAGACCCTTGAAGGAGGTCGGGTATCTTGGAAAGACCCGATTAAAGCAAAGCAAGGCAAGACAATGGTCGACCGTGGGATTGGAGACAAAAGAATATTCAGGTGAATAGGAAACACCGCAATTGGAGAAAGGGGTATCGCAAATAGGCCGCGAGGAGTCTCCGGATAAAAAACACATCAGATAATACTGTAACAAGCAAACTCATAGAATGATACAGCGACAATGGGGGCTTCTCTCCGTCGTATCACGGTCCCGGCCCTGATACGCTTTGACTCCCTTTGCATCTTCCTCGTCGACGACTTCTTGCGGTTTCACCGTCATGTGAATGACGTTGGGGGCGTCGTGGCTGAATTTGGATTCTAAAGAGGCATCATCAGAATTCGGTCCGCATCATCGCTAGAATTGAGTATGCTCAGACACACCTGACAATGGAGATTTGTCCTCCAGCAACTTGCCAAACGAAATCAGCCTGATCGAGCTAGGTGACGATGGCCGGGGCTCCCATTCTACAAGGAGTCAGCATGATCAATGAAATATCCTCTCCGAGAAATCTTACCGGACCGCCATTCCCTCCAGATCAGCTCCTTCAGAGTGTACACGCTCATGCAAAAAGGATCGTAGTTTTCCACATTGACCCCCCGTTTCCGCAGATACTTGCCATCGATCTTGAAAGGATGCCTCGCACCCGTGGTCAGGAGCAGTGTAATCACCAACGACGGGCCCGTATCTTCAGCCTCCTTCACGGCGGCTTTGGACTGATCCGATAACTCGCCTTCCGTGACGGTCGTCGTCTCTGGATCTGCGCTTGTCTGAGGTGTCGTCGTCGTTATAGTCGTTTCTGTAGGCCTCACGGACGATTCCTCTGCAGCCGCACCGTCGCTTCGAGAGGCGCTCTCGTTCACAACGGCCCCAGACTTCTCAGGGGGAAGTGTAGCAGCGGAACTGGAGGTCTGGGGAGCAACTGTGGTCGTTTCCTTCTCAGAAGCCGGATTGGTCTCAGTCGCTGAGGCTTGCGTGGTCTGATGAGGCTCGGGCGAGACCGTGTCCGGGACGTTATCGATCGACGCCATCCCGGAATTCAGCCGCGACAGGCCAGAATTCAGAGCAATTGAAGTGGAAGAGGTTGTCGCAACGGGTGGCTAGGACTTGAAACGACCGCAATGGGATGGTGATAGAAAGGTAGGGTCGGCCTGAGGGAGTCACAAGTAAGTTGGGACGGAACGGAGAACAGGCCGGGGTGGGCAGGCCGTCAGGGAGAGGAACGAGAGGAGCAATGCTAACAATGCCCGGGCCCGACTCATCCACTGGAACGGCCGCGTGAGAAAGAGTCAAAGGTAAAAAGCGAGGGGAGACGGTGACATACGAACCCCTTTTGTGTTGCCGTTGGTTCTGGATGGACTAAGCTGGCCACGCGGCACAGGGGGGAAAAAAGGACAAGGAAAGGAAAAGAAAGAAAGAGAGGGCGGGCGTGGGACAAACTCTGGGGGAAAACCGGTGGATGTGGAGGAGGAGGAGGAGAGATGGGAGACAGGCCAGACAGGAAGCACGACTGGCTGGGCTAATGAGACAAGAATTGATCGGCCAGGCTGGAGCCAGGACCAGGCCAGCCTTGCAGGTGTGATGGAGGCGGGGAGAGAGGCTAGTCCGGAGCATGCAGCGATAGCATCAGCATTGGCTAGTCAGTAGTCTATCATCCACCTGTCCAGGTGATTCAGCAAGCTTCTCCATGCAATGCGACGCGGTGGATGGTTAGCAATTAGATCCCCGACCGTCGCAATCCTACGCCGTACCCTGGTGAGTGCAGTGCATTAATTAATACAGTCCAGTGTCACGCTCATGCTCCCTACTGCTAGGGAAGCCGGAATACCAGGTACTTCCATTCGGTCCGTTTTTTAAAAAGAATTTGGTAGCGAATTGACCCATTAGGATCCACCTGTCTGAGACGGTCAGACAATGATTATTAAAGGCGGCTGAGTTCTCTTCCAGTCGGCGTCAATACGAAATCTAATACAATACTCCGTCCATACGCGCGTTATCTGATAGGCGGTTTTATTGATAAAGATAAGGAGTGCCAATACGGAGTGTCTTTGGCATCATACTACCCTGGTATTGCAATAGAATACACTTAATACAGTTGAGCTGAGGAAATACCTGGTTTAGAGAGGCATATCTGAAGATTGATTTACCCTGGAGAGATTTTCAGTACACAAATTTAGTATATTTAACCCAAATCCTTGGCGGTGTGCTTTCACTTAGTTCCTGCTCTTCTCATGTCGATCTGCAGTAACACATCATATGATTCAAGCATTGTCTGAGGGGATAGCACGTCATTCATGCTTTGTCCCCTAAAACAAGACAGAGACAGGCGCAGTTCAAAGAACAACATGCCCAGCTTCAGAAGCTGCATGAGAAGAAACAAATAAATTGGAAGTGACCATCAAAAAAAAAGCCGCAGGAATCCGACTGCGAATCGACGGCATGCTACCTATATCCCAGCATAAATTCCCGCCTGCTGACTATCTCCATGTGTCGACAATCGTCTCCGTCGCTCCCGTGCAGGCCGTCGGCACAGTATACGACCGATTGGGATCGCTCTCCCACTCGACATCGCCGTTCTCTTCCTTCTTGATGAACTTGTACTCAAAGGACGTCCCAACCGGCAATGTGACTGTCACATACCACAGGGGATTCGAAGAAGTGTAATTAGCTGCGGACAGGGCCACGGCGTCGTCCGTGTTCCAGTCCCCGAGTTGGCTGATCGATCCGCTGAGGTAGACATTTTCACCGTAGGTCGTTGTCACCAACTCTTCGAAGAGGACCGCCACAGCGGTGGCGGTGGTGCAGGCCGTCGACGTTGTCGATGTCGATGTCGATGTTGTAGTAGTAGGGCTAGGAGAAGAACTGCATAGACTGCTACCACTGAATGAGGATGCTGGTAGGAAAACGCGCGGCAGTCCGGACTCCATGGGAACTGGAATATCGCCATTAGAGTCAACAGTGACCGTTGTGCAGGTGTAAGCTTCCACCAGCTCCGTGCCTGACGAATAGCCACTGCCACTCAGAGTCAACGTGTACGAGCTACCATCGGCGCCCAGATTGGACAGAACAGTGATGACCTGCAGGCCATCCGAACCCTTGCGCATAGCGAGGGTATTGCTGTCGTAGTAGAATGGGTCATTCTGGAGACGAGGTGAGTTCGGTTTCCATCACGATCACATAAGCACATAACATACCTTGTACGTCAAATACTCCGAGTCGACGGAGATCGCCAAGCTACGGATCGCGTTGGTGGTCGCAATGAACGTGTACAGTTCGGCCGTCGTCGAGTATCCTGACAGCCAGGTGGCCTCGCGGTTGTAGGGGTCATTTCCCCCGTTGTAATGCTGCTCCTGACCGGCATAGACGATAGGGATGCCGTCAGAGAAGAAGATGAAAGCAATCACATTTTTAGCAAGAGAATAATCACTTGTATAGCTAGAAGAAAAAAAAGTCAGTCTCGACTCAGGTTACCTCTCTAATCTCGTTCGAGGACTTCATGTTCGTCCAGCTGAGACTACGTACGAGGCAAATCTAGGGTTGTCATGGTTCTCGATAAAGTTGCCCAACAGAGTGGGATCGGAACATTCAGAGGCGACAGAGTTGATCATGTTGTAAAGATTGCTGATGCTGCCGCTAGAGGATTCAAACGCATACAGTAGTTGATAGTATCTGGATGTTGTCAGTCAAGAAACAATTTTCTTTTTTCAGAAAGGGATCCTCACATTGGATAGTTTAATACACCGTCCAGATAATCCTGGTAGGGACAAGTGTAAGACGGATCTCCATCGAGGACCTCGCCAACACAGTAGACACCCGCAGCACTGTTGTAACCAGGCCAGAATGACTTTTCTACGTGTTTCACCGTGTCGATGCGAAGCCCATCAACTATTGGATAGTATTAGCTGTATACTTCAAGGGAAAAGACAAAAAGAAAAGTAGAGAAAGCATCAGCCATACTAGAGTAATTGGAGACGAGATCCGCCACCCAGTCATACCATATAGTCCTCACAACAGTCTCCGTGGTGTTGAGATCGGGCAACGAGACAGTCGTATCGCCCAGCCAACAGTCTTCCACATCGGTCTGATTGCTGTAGTCTGTAATCAGGCAATAGGGATGGAAATAACTCGAGGAATTAAATGGATTGAAGACGCTGTAATCAACGGAGTCGCCATCTCCATCGTATCCCTAAGTTGGGCTTAGAATCGTTCGTTCTTGTCAAGGAGGAGGAAGAAAACCAGGTCACTGACCATGTGATTCGCAACCACATCGACCATGAGGTACATGCCACGGTCATGGAGCGCCTTTGACAGGGCTAAGAGATCGTCTGATGTCCCAAAGTTGGAGTTGACCGTGTATCTGCCTTGAGTAAGTGGAGATCATAGTAAAGCAATAATTATGCATCATATATATCAAAAAAAGAATGTAGAATGACAGCACAACTGGTATCTCACATTTCCTGCTGCCAATACCCATGATAGGCTTCTCCCTCACCCGTATTTTGCGGCAGCTGCTCGGTCACCGGTGAAATCCAGATGGCCGTGAACCCCATGCCTTGGATATAGTCGAGCTGAAGAGAAAGAAAGAAAGAACAATTTAGACATTTCCGTGCATTAGCAAGGGAAAGCAGGCAACTTCGCGTACATGGTTGATGATTCCTTGCCAACTCCCGCCACAGTAGATCTGTAGCCATCATCACTCAGAGACAATGATCGTCCAGCTGATGCTTTCTTAACTTACCCTCTCAGTGACATCGCAGGCAGCAGTGGTCGAGTTATCTGCCCTGCCAAAGCGGTCCGTGAGGAGAAAGTAGATAGATTGTTTGCGCCATTCGGCCGGGGTCAAGGCCAACACGGCATTCCCCAGCAAGAACAGCACGGCCGTGAGGACGAAAGGCGTCATGGGCAATGAGCCAGAAGAACGCAGCAAGCTAAGGAGTCGAATTTGGGCTGCTTTCAAGACAGAGAATTCACGAAGATCTGTGTCAAACTTGTGCTTTTATATACGGCTCTGCTGCGATCATTTTCTTGAGCACCGGGGTACTGCCGTCCCCGTGATGCTGATCCGAAATGCAACTCTGCTTGCCCCCTGCCATGATGGAGACTACTGCTACCAATTTCATGACCGCGCTGCCAGGAACGAGGTCATGCGGGCAGGCTGATTATTGGCGCCCGGAGAATAACCTGCAGGGGACGGCGATTCTGCGGGGAAATTGCGTCGACGGCGTCGGCATCCCGGGGGCGCTGACGATGCTGGAAATGGACAATCTTCCGGCTGACGAAGCTTGGCCTAAGTCTTAATTTATCTCTGCTAAGAACTAATTATGCAACCACTTTTTCGGAGGAGTGTCTAGCTGCTCACATACAGGCAGCATGCACCTGGCATGTCAACTGATAGCGGAAAAAGAACTGCAGAAGGCCATCCTCTTCGAGCTCGCGATGGCCGACAAATGCCCGGCAATTGGCCGGGAAAAGGAGTATATCCTGGGTATATAATCATGAAGAAGACACGGTCAGTTGGAGTTCGAATGCCAGCGTTCTCTCCACTGTAACTGACGCCTTGTGTGTGCAGTACATGCGATTCAATATGATGGCTCCTCCTCTGTCCTATGCGCTGTTCGCGCTCGCTCTCAGCCCGGCGGTCATGGCAGACCCTCTGCTGAAATCGCGCGCAACGGCCAGCCTGAGCAGCTGGCTGGCCACGGAGACGTCGTATGCGCTCGAGGCTATCCTGAACAACATCGGCTCGTCGGGTGCGTGGGCGCAATCAGCCAGCCCAGGCATCGTCGTGGCCAGTCCCAGCACGAGCGATCCAGATTGTCTGTATCCTCCAGATCAGACCTTCTGAAAGAACAGGAAGCTAACCTTGTCGCAACGTCAGACTACTACACCTGGACGCGAGACTCAGCGCTGACCTTAAAGGTGCTGATCGACCTCTTCAAGAACGGCAACTCCAGCCTCCAGGGCGTGATCGAGGAGTATATCGATGCGCAGGCCTATCTCCAGACGGTATCCAATCCGTCTGGCACCCTGTCTACGGGTGGCCTGGGGGAGCCCAAGTTCAATGTCGACAAAACCGCATTTACCGGCAGCTGGGGGCGTCCGCAGCGAGATGGTCCGGCCCTGCGAGCTACTGCGCTGATTTCTTTTGGCGAATGGCTGATTGTGAGTATTTCCGTCATAAAAAAGACTTCAGAAGGCTAACAACAAACCAAGGATAATGGCTATTCGACGTATGCGTCTGATATTGTGTGGCCCATTGTGCGCAATGATCTGTCATATGTCGCACAGTATTGGAACGAGACCGGTTACGGTAGGTTTTTTTTTCTTCCTTCTATCAGCTTCGTATGAATTCCTGCTCATTCGAATACAGATCTCTGGGAGGAAGTCGACGGGTCTTCGTTCTTTACCGTCGCCGTCCAGCATCGCGCGCTGGTTGAGGGAGCCAACTTTGCCAGCGCACTGGGAACGTCATGCGACTACTGTACCTCTCAGGCTCCTGAGATCCTCTGCTACCTGCAGTCCTTCTGGACGGGGTCCTACATCTTGGCCAACTTCCAGAGCAGCCGCTCAGGAAAGGACGTCAACACCATCCTAGGCAGCATCCACACGTTCGACCCTGAAGCGGCCTGCGATGACACCACCTTCCAGCCCTGCTCACCAAGAGCACTCGCGAATCATAAAGTGGTGGTGGATGCCTTCCGAGACCTCTACACTATCAACAACAATGCCGCTGAAGGTGTAGCCGTGGCTGTGGGTCGGTATCCTGAAGACACATACTATAACGGCAACCCGTGGTTCTTGTGTACGCTTGCTGCAGCCGAGCAGCTGTATGATGCTCTGTATCAGTGGAACAACATTGGATCCATTACCATCACCGACGTCTCTTTGGATTTCTTCCAGGACTTGTATAGCGATGCCGCGGTGGGCACGTACTCTTCCTCGAGCTCCGAGTACAGTGCGATCGTCGATGCCGTGAAGACCTACGCCGACGGATTCGTGAGCATCGTGGTACGTATTCCTGTCGTCCTCTATCTCTGTCAATGGAAGCACTAGCTGATGAGCAAAACTCCCTGTAGGAAAACTATGCACTGACGAATGGATCTCTGTCCGAGCAATACTCCAAGACGGACGGGACACAGGAGTCCGCTCGCGATCTCACCTGGTCGTATGCTGCCCTGCTAACGGCCAACATGCGTCGCAACTCGATAGTGCCCGCAGCCTGGGGTGAGACGGCTGCCAGCAGTGTGCCGGCGACCTGTGTGTCCACGTCGGCCACAGGCATCTACAGCACTGCTACGGACACAGCCTGGCCGAGCACGTTGACTGCAGCCACAACGACAGCAACAGCGACGACAACGACAACGACAACCACGAGCAAGACCACAACAAGCACAGGAACATCCACCATCTCAACAACCTCCTCCTCATCATCATGTACGACCCCAACATCCGTAGCCGTAACCTTCAAGCTAACCGCAACAACCTACTACGGAGAAAACATCAAGATGTCAGGCTCAATCCCGCAGCTCGGCGACTGGGACACAGACGACGCAGTGGCCCTGAGCGCAGCAAACTACACGAGCACTGACCCGCTGTGGTTCGTCACCATCAACCTGCCCGCAGGCGAGTCATTTGAGTACAAGTACATCCGCATCGAGAGCGACGGGACGATCGAGTGGGAGAGTGATCCGAACCGGTCGTACACGGTTCCTGCGGCTTGTGGTGAGACGGCTGCTGTTGAGAGCGATACGTGGCGGTAAAATTACATTCAAATGAATGAAAATTAATACTATCCTTTCTGAAAAGGGGATGAGAAAAATAGGGCGAAGAGAAAGATGTTCTAGCTACGATGGGAGTTTAGTATGTAAATCACGGGTAGTTTGTCCATTGAAAATATAGTACGTATGCCAAGTACTTTTCTCCTCGATATATACTCATTCAGTCTTATAATCTTTGCTACTGCTATCTACTCTCGAGGCAGAGCTTCCTAATTATATATGTTTAACCTAAAGCGCGCAATATAAAGTCTCGTTATAGTATCCTTTACCTTACTTACTTACTTACCTAGGCAATGGTTACAAAAAGTACATTATAATGTACCAGTTACGAGGACAGAAAACATATACCTAGAGTAAACAGGCTCCGAACTCGACAATCAAATGTAGCACTTTTGTCTATGTGTAATGTATCATGCTAAGTGACGAATTGCTTGGTATCATGTCATCACTCGTCAATGCTAGCAAACATGTTGTCGTGAAAAGGCATTTCATGGTCGTACTGGCCAGACAGTCTCCTGTTCGACTGTTATATCCACCCCAAGTACTGCTCCGGCGGCTCGCTCTTCACACCTTCCGACCCATGTCGAACCCCCAGCATCCGGACCCGTTCAATCTTGCCGCCAAAATCGTCCTCCACCTTGCTTTTATACGTCTCGAACAGCCGGTTCAACCGGTTCACCACCTCGATATCATCCTCGATTAACAAGGCAATCGCATCATAACCTCCCGCACCCGGCACCACTCCGCCAATGACCCCTTTCACTTCCGAGACGGTGTCGAGAAGCTCCGTCTGCACCCGTGGTTCAATAGGGACCCCCGTCTTCTGCGTCATGGTGCGAAGGTATTCGCGGGTGCGCTGGATCAGGGTCCGCACATTTTTAAAAGCTTCCTCTGCCGTCTCAGCCTCGTTCTCCGGCGAATCGCGACCGTGGCTCAGTCTCCGTAACTCGAGGCGAAGCTTCTCATTGTTCTCCTGCAAGGAGGCCCAGAGCGCATCCGCCTCCTCTCGGTTCTGATCGCGCCACGCCAGCACCTTCTTGACCATCGACGGCGTCTGCGAGCCGCAGTCGACATCACACAGAACCATCTGCATCCCCGGTGGCAGTCTCATACCGAAATCCACGCATTCCGTGTCCCAGGGGTGCGTCTGGTCCAGGTCCTCCACGGTTGAGAATAACCGTTCTTCAAACCCGGGAGTTCCTACATCACCCACCTTCTCCAGGATGGAAGGCGAGAAACGTCGGTAGAGGCACGATCCGTAGATGGCCGCTCCCACATCGAAACCGGATCCGACCTTGCCCTGTGCGGCACAGTGCGCGGCCTGGGCCAGGTTGTGTAGCTTGTCTCTGGTGACCACCAAATCATCGGGGTGCATAGTTCGATGGACCACCAGGGCAGAGACCAACGCCGTTACCAACGCCGCGGACGAACCCAGCCCCGTCTTGTGCGCCTCTTGCAAGGGCACTCCAAAGTTGCGGAATCTCCCCCGTATCTGGGCGCCAGGGCCATTTGATACACCGGTATCCGAGTAATAGTCATTATCTGCAAGGATGGTGATCGACAGAGATCCGAAGTCCTTGGAGCCTGCCACGTAGCCGATATACGTCAGGGCGTAGTTCAGGGATGTCTCGACAAACGGGTTTCGCGGTCTGTTTCAATGTCAACTGGAGTCGTCCATACATAAGAGGCTGTCGCCGCCTTTCACAGAACGTCCAACAGCCAAGGTTGACCGCAGGCGATGGGATCAAACGAAAGGAAAGGAATGCACGCACCCATCGCCCCGTTGTGTAACCTTGACCCCTCCGCCGTCGTCGCACCTTCGCACCCCGTACTCCCAGACAGCATTGACAAACTGAGGTGAGCGGACGACGATGCTCTCCTCCGGATGGTCCTCAGCAGAATGGTCTGTCCTGGTCTGCTGTTCCTCACCACCGGCGGCTTCCTTGGTCGCGTCGAGGGAAGAAGTGGAAAGTTGACGGTTCAACTGCTGGACAATGACATGGATTCGGGCGTCGAGGGCAAAGACGGTGCCGGTGTAGTCGCGGTCCAGCACCAGGTAACCTCCAGTCAGGAGCACCTTGCCAGGCGCCGACACGGCGGTCGTGACGGAGGCCCGATGGGTCATGAGAGCTCAGTTAATCGAGGAAGATGGGCGCATGGAGGAAGGAATAGCAAGCAGTATACGGATCAAGGAATTCTGGTTTTATTAGCCCCAAAGTCTTGAAGATTCATTAGGAGAAGGCCAGGCACTGAGCAAAGCTGCTGTTGGGCACGGCGGGGAGATGGAGGGGTGCGTTCTGATTGGCCAATGAAGCTTCAGTTGACGTCTTCCGTACAGCAGCAGTCTTCGATGTCTTGTCAGGACTCAACGCGTCCCTGCAAATATTCCGGAGTATTAATAACGCGATCGCTACCAAGTCGACCAGTCTACTCCGTATTGGAATCATCAGATCATCTACGCGTAAAGAATGCGCGTGCAAACAACCCAGCAGCAATATTGCTACCGACACTGAATGCTGCGAAGTTTATTATATACTTCCCAGGCGGGTTTCACACCCATGGGAAGTAAATAATAATGTCCCTGGCATTGATCAGGCAATTTTTTTTTCTGCTAGCAACATGAATATTGCAGAAAACAAAGATGCTGTTGCAGACTCAGCCAATAAGAAATGCCATGGCATTCGCTTCTTAGCCTGCAACGTCACTTGAGACACCATTCTCCAACAGAGGCCTTAGATCGCGTACTAATTTACTATTTATAATATCCTTGAGGGGTTGATTGGTGGTGAATTTAGACAAAAGTGGTAATCGTTTGGATTACTGCGTTGGGAAAATTAAGACCGATCTGATAAACAAGGCAATCAGGAGCTTTCCCCACAATCAGCCAATCCTAGACTCGTATAGAGTATTGTCTGATCCGGACTTCTCCGAAACCGTTACTAGTGCAGATTATGACAGTGAGGAGAATCTGCAATACGGGGAGGGCTATATTGCATGATGTGCGCAGAAATGACGGCGGGGATCAAGCAGAGGATCGATACCCCTCTCTGACGTGACGGAGAATCCTAGCATCATCATTTATTGTCCTGACAACGAGGTGCAGGCGCTGCGAGAAGCTCAGGCAGATACTCAGATTGTCAGCTATGATACTTACTTGCATGACGCAACGCTCTTTCTTAAGCTTCTTCCAAGGTTAGTAATTAGTATCAGCGTGGGGGTCCGGGGATGGCATGATGATCCAGAGTAGAAGGAAGCTCGGCATTCGGCGGTTCTAAAGCTCCGAATCCGACGCAACGATGATACGCAGTTTTTGACTTTTAATCGTGCCTAGGTGGTTTACTATCTATCAACTTTGTGTTTTTGGACGGGTAAACTAAGCTGGTATACTCGTCACAAATGCGAAGATTCTCTTTTTCCAAACTTCTGGTCTCGATGAGTACAGTTTTCTCTCAACTCCGCGGTATCAACACAGCCTCTGGGCTGACAGGAGCACTCTGTAACATTTCTGCCTGTGGTAAAAAAGCTTGCTGCTGCTTGCATAATATTATTAATCGTGAGGCTTGAGGATGCACCAGTCGCAGCGTGCCTGGGTGGAGCGTTCCGGCGCGCAAGAAAAAGAGCCGGAAGCAGGGCGGGCGGTGATGAGTCACCCCTGTCGGCGCCGGAGCGCAGGCCTGCTTCCGCGGCGCGTCGGGTGGGGGGAAGTGCCTGAGCCGCCTGTCGGAGCGTCGCTCTTTCCTCCGCAGCTGAGTCAAGTCCCTGACCATACTCGACTGCTCCTTCCCGAACACCGCCTGTTGTTCCTGCTCTTTCCTAGCCCGAAGCCATCTCCACCGCCTGGTCATCTGACAGAGCCCGGTCGCTCCTTCTCGAAAGCTTCCAGCGGGCTGAGCCGATTCCCCGTCCCTTTTAGGCCTGCAGTCTCGGCACCGTCGGGAGCCTGGTATCCCGCCTGGGAAAGGTGGCCTGTCGGTCTCCAGCTGCTTGGATTCCTTGACGCAACCCGGCCTATTATTTTTTCGATCGCGCAGGACCAATTCGCCCGTAGCACGCGCGACTCCTGCTGCATACTTATCCTCCTTATCGTCTGCCTGGCTCCGTCTGAGGCACGCAAGTATTTTTTTTTCTTCCCCCATACTCCTCGACGAGGATCTTTTTGCTTCTTGTCCCGACACCGTTAGTTACAGAAGGGTTTTCACTTGCGTACCTTCTGTCGACCATCCCTAAGGTCCTGTCTACTATCCTAGAAACTCTCCTCTCTTGGTCACGATCGGATCTGTCGACGCCATTTGGCTTGCTCATCGGATCCCTGGCCAAGTCTCATTCTTTTCTTCACCATTTTTTCTATCGCTGCGCGTTCGTTTGACGGCGGTAAAGTCGTCAAATGAACCTGCATTTTTCACTACTACTGGGTTTGGAGGTATGCGATCCCCAGGCCCCTCTGGGCCCTACATGATGCTAACCCTTTCATCTGCAGTATCTCCTCTTCTGTAGGGAGAGGACCCCCGTCAGATAAATGGTGTTTAAGCCGTTCACCCACCTCGCACGCCAGAACTTTACCAAAGCCTTCACACACGGCTATGCCCAGTCGGTAATAGCCGCTTCCCAATCTTCCTACGCCTCTTCGGCCTCCTTCAACCAGTTCGCCAGCCATCCTGGTAAATTCGCCCGCACCACCCAGCTTCAGAATGTCTTTCAGAACGCATCCAGCTCTTCAGGCGCCGGCGCCGGCGCAAAGGCCGGCCAGACGACTTCGACTCCTGGAGATTCTGGGTTAGCGGCCTACTATGCTGCCTGGCAGCATGCTCAGCAGACCGGAGATGACAGCGATTGGAGACAGTTTCAGTTCAGGAGGCGAATCGGCTGGAAACCCAAAGAGGAGGTGGCGAAGAAGAGCAAAGATGGCGAAGATCGGTCGGTCGCCGACAGCTCGCCCCGAAACAGCGCCAAGGATCTCAAGAAGGCGCCTGTGAACGTGGATGTGAGCGCCAAGGTCGAAGAGGCGGTCAAACGAGAGATTCAGATTCAAGAAGAAAAAGCGAAGGCCGAGGAGGAGGCAGCCAAGGATTCGTCCGCCGCTGAAACTACCCCCGAGTCGCCTGCTCCGGAAAAAACAGCAACCCCCGATGCTACGGCGGAGAAATCCCAGGCATCGTCCGATCGGATCGTGCAGCTGGCGTCCGCGCAGAAGTATGGGGAGATCCCTGTTGCTTTCGAAGCCCTTCTGAAAGATGGTCTCACGCCAACCGTCGAAGCCTACAATGCACTGCTCGTGGCGGCCATCAAACTTCATACCGACTCATATCATGCCGTCCCCAAGGCTCTCGATGTCTACTCTGATATGCTGCGGCGGAGGGTGATGCCCAATGAAGAGACCTACAAGTCTCTCGTCGCGGTCCTGGTTTCTCGGGCTCTGGAGACGCTGGCGGCGAAGGAGGCTCTGGAACAGCAGCGAATTCGTTTCGGAGGCATGGACGAGCCTGGCAAGTTCTTGTTTCGATCCAGTGAGTTGGAACGGGAGCTTCTGGCTGAGGACCATTCCCTTTCAATCGCGATCAAGCTCTTTGATGCGGCTAGCTCCCGCCACACGGAAATGGTCTTTCCTCTCGAGGTCTATCGGTCCCTTATTACCGCCTGTGCAGAAGAAGGTCGCGTGGAGGATATGATCCGAGTCTACGCTCACATGGAAACCCGAAAAGTCGTCCCTCACGCGGCTATTTTCCCCGCCATGATCCGTGCCTTTGCTGCGATTGGGGACCTGAAGAGTGCCGTTGAGTGCTACAACGAATACCGAGAGCTGGCTATTGCAGATGACAACGGTATCTTCGGCATCGTCGAGCGCCGTGATGGAGAGGTCTATGCGGCATTGATTGGAGCGTATCTTTCCTGTGGCAAGGAGGAGGGTGGCATGCGGTTCCTCGACCGGATCCGCGACTCCTTCCGCGACGTTAAGGAGGAACGGGAGGCCCGCCTGGAGGCTGTCGAATCCGTTATCGTCCAGGATGCTCTTGTGCAGGCTTCGCTCAAAGCTGGGCGCTTTGCGGAGGCGGCGGAACGTGCGACGAGTATGCTTCGAGACGGTGCGTTGCAGAAGGCAATGGCCAAGATCTGTGTTGCAGCGGCCGATGCAGGGAACGTGGCCGTCGCCTCCGAAGCATACGATCGCCTGGCTGCGGAATCTCCCGAGACGCTGAGCCCGGCGGTCTCGATGCTGGCTCTGCATGTGCGCCAGGGCAATGTCCTGGCCGCTAGGCCGTTCTGGGACGTGCTGACGGGCGCGAGTCAGGCAACCTCGGACATGATCCAGCCGACCACCATGTACGCCGTCGCGCTTTTGAAGAGCGGCCACGTCGAGGAAGGGCTGATGGAGGCCCGGAAGATGTTCAACCGGATTCGCAACACGGCCGCCGCTCAGCAGCTCCTCTTGGCACCCATCCGTGAGGAGATTGATGAAGCCTTGGAGCTCCTGGGTCGCGTTCTTATGCCCCAGGGAGGCATGCTGATTTCGGCCCCGGCAGCGATGACTCTGATCCGGGCCATGGTCGAGAACGGGGGTCTCGTCTCGCCTGTGGCAGAACATGCTATCTCCAGCCTGGGGCCGATGGGCATTTCCCAGCTCAGCGTTGACGACCTGACCCTCGCTCTCCAGGTTCAGGCTGGCATGATCGTCAACAACGCTGTGGGCTTCGATGCGTCTCACCTGGTCCGCTTTGCTCACATGGTCGATGTCGCGCTGTCAACCGGTATTCCGATGGACGCCGTCACAACCCGGCTGGTCGACCAGGCTGTTCTCAGGCTCTCTGACAGCCGGCCGGATCTGGTCCAGAGGTGGCAGGAATATTTCGCTCCTCCCATGGCGAGGAAGCCATCTGTCACTTCGAGCCCGTATACTCCCGTCTCGGAGTCATCGATGGCCAACTCGTCGGCAACCGAGGACACGTTCGATCCTTACGCGTACGCCACCGATTATCGGGGATCCGCTATCATCGCCGATGAGCTGGAGAAGACTAGTGGCAAGGCCGAGACGCACTTGAATGAGGCGCTGGCCAAGTTCAAGAACATCCGTCGCGCTGGTCGGCATCCCCGATACATCACCTACGCCAAGCTCATCACTGCCGCTGCCAAATGTAGCCGCATGGATCTGGTTCAGGAGATCCTATCGATGGCGAGACAAGATGTGCCTCTCATCCCTCAGTATAGTGTCGTCAAGTACGGTTGGGTGTCCATCCTCGATGCCACGG